ACGAAGATGTCACCCCGGTAGAGATGAATGCAATAGCTTTCACGTGTGACGTCTTGTTCGAAACAGTTTAGCTGATCGTCTCCACTGCAGTTAATACGTGAACCACGGTGTTAATCGCACCGAGGCGTATATATAAAGCGGAACCACAACGTGACCATATTCGCAACTCACAGAATCGGTAGTGAAAGCAATCCTAAAGATTGGAACGCGAGGAACAAGATCTGAACAATGATTCGTGAGAAATGAGCAACTTCGGTACCAACAGGCGAAGCCAATTAGAGAGGCAATACTAGGTCTCCACTTGAGCTGTGTAGCAAAAAAGGAAGCTTGATGATCAGCACAACAGGAAGAGTGCGCAGTACCAATAGCTAAAGTGCTACGCCGATAGTAACAAGTACCGAGGGAGAAAAAAACAGTCCCAGAGCTGTAATGAAGCTGCCAACCGATTAGCCTGCATTCATGTCGACATCGGAAAACAGGCAGAAATCGTTTTTCATACAAAACTGTGAACTTCAAAAACTGAGTGCCGATGCGTGGAGGTCCCAGACTTGTTCATGTCCAGAGATGATGGACATACTTAAACCACCGACCAGAATGGTTGTGGCTTATGTGAAATTAAGCGCAGAAGAAAAGCAATTACATCGGAAGAATCAAAGCCCTCCTTGAACACTTCTGATGAGAGCTTACATTCGTGAGTTAAGATGTGCGATTTCAAAACATAAGAAATCGTTTGGGTCAACGGTATGAGCAAAAGATTCCTTGTTCTAAATCCCGTAGACATCGATTAACGTTCAATGCGGTGAAGAGGTGGGGATGATTCCGACTAATATCATCAAAAGTATATTTTATTTAATAAATGAACCGAAAATCGATTACTGTAAGAGCAATTGCATGATGGCAAAAAGAACCACTGAGAAAAAGCAACCCATATCAAACCAGAAGTGATGTGATACAAAAGCAGCTCGCCGAATAAGATTGTAAGGCCATATAACGCAAAATAAGCATACACACGCTTTATATAGTGATAGAATGCAAGTAAAATGAGGTTGTGCTCTCAGGAAAAGCTATTGTTTCTAAGAAAGACAGGTTTATTTAACATATGGCTGAATGCTGCACATTGTGGGCCGGTAATAGACAGTGAGACCGATGAACGACAATGCTGAAAATGGAACATCGAAGAGGACGTCGTGTCCATATTCTTCTATAAGCAACGTGAACAGGGTATCGTAATAGAATGTTTGTCATATGATGTGAACTCATTAGTACTTGCTGAGGAAGTTGGAGACTCCTGGATCAGAAGAAGATGTATCTGTATTAGAAAATCTGAAGGCAATTGGTATATCAAGTTACTCATCCAAACGATAGCTAAATAGCAGATATACGTACTCAATCAATGACCGGTGAAACTACCTAGATAGAAAATGAACTCAGATTCGAGAGCAAAATAGAGCGACTATCCTCATATTACGGTTCCAAAAAGATTTAGTGAAATATAGTCGAAAATGTTTTTATAGGTTGCTGTAGGAAAGCTACAAAGAGCGAAAATCTGTCGCACTAATATTCTCAACAGATCACTGAGTATATCAACATGGCAAACAGCCGAGATTCAGAAAAATGTGATCAGGCACCTTGGATCTAAAGTAACGGGTATCCAGCTGTATCGAACAAAAACAGTCGGTAATAGAGGACCACAGTGGTTTAGTGCAACAAAAGTAATCGATTGAATTCAATAATCAAACAGTGAGTTATCGAGAAGGAGAAGAGACTGGATGAATGAAAGATGATCAGCGGGGTTAAGAATATGTGAAACATTGTGCTCCCTTGAGCCAATACAGCAAAGCAGAAAGAAGATAACTATCGCTATAAGTTAACATTTCGATTGTACTCGTCAGTCGGGGACGCAATATGTACAGGACGTAAACCGATGCTTATGAACAAAATCAGTGCGACAACAAATGCATAACTGATTGCTTCAATCGCTTTTATGCACAGAGTGCCGAACGACACTGCGTGATTAACAGCGCTTCGCCAATTGCCGACTGATTCGGATTACTGTCACGCAGGATTATTTTGAAAGTGTTCGATAGATGACCAGTGGCCACGAGTTGCTTTCTAATGAACGAGGCAGGATTTCGCTTAACCACTTGATCCACTCCACTTTCCGGTGACATCAACTGTCTTGAAAAACTTGAAAGATGTTTGGACCCCTCTGAGACAGTCGAAGACCAGTCCTGCCAACGCAAATGTCAGCGCAACTTCAGGCGAACTGGCAGAGAATGTGACAGACAAGACAGCTCGACAGACTGCTAATCTTCTTGTGATCTGGATGATTCGTTACTGGGCAGCTGTGTAAGTGCGTTTCAAGGCACATTAACGCTTGTGTCCAATATCGGTTAGGGTATGGTCACCGTTGGGCGGCAGGTGGCCGAGTTGTCTGCGCACCTAGTTTGCAACGGTAAGGTCACCGGTTCGAATCCGCGTAGGGGTGGACGTAATCGCGGTTTCCTCAGCCTGCGCGCGAATGGTGGTTGTCGCGTGGTAGCGGAGCGCCGTTACGGCATACAGGTGATGATTTATTTTTCCTATTTTTGGACGGCAGGGATAGGAAAATATCATTTTTTCTCTGAAGTGTGCACCGGAAGCTTCACTTTGGGTAGTGTGCTGTGGATCTGGATAAACTTTTCCGGAAAACAACTAGACAACAGAGTCCTGTGTGGCCTCAGTGCTACAAATGCGCCTGGTTCCGTAGAACAGAGTTCTCACAAGGCGACATTTGTGATGATGGAGCAAAACTAGGGAATGGGGAAACTGTAAACACCATGTCGTTTTTCCATCAACAGTTCACTGAAGTGTATCATCGGCTGACCTCTAGATGCGAAAGGAAGGCTACCCTGTTGTTCCACATGGGCATTGGACTCTGTTGATCGAACTACGCCGTGGCATTGTTTGCAAAACGGGGACCCGGGAAAGGATACTATTATCCTGTGCGCAATCTACCTCCACATCTCCCGCAGAGTGGAGGTCATGGTAAACTTTCTTCGTTCTTCGCTATCAACAGCTGCGCGATGTTACTTTTCCTCTTTGATTCTGCGACGGAATACGCCCAGTTGATGGCTCATGAAGGCTACCAACATTTTAGTTTGCAACTAACATCCGGTAAGCGAGTGACCCACTTAGACTATGTCAATGACACCGCGTTGTTTGATGACAACTTGCAAAGTATGCAAACCATTCTGAACCCTTTAGCGAATGCGATGGAATATGCTTCACCCCCTCCGTTCCCGTGTTCACACCTGAAAAAGTAGATGGATCCAACTACCTGCGCAGCTTCGTGTCCACAGATGGTACCATTGCAAAGAAAGTTTCTCCGCAACGCTAAATTTCGATCGGATTCTGTCAGCTTGCAACACTTGTGGAACCATTGGGACCTCACTCTTGATAAGGAGTCGTTTTGACGGTGCCTACATGATATTGAGTCATGGCTAGTTCGTGTAGATAACAAGCGGCACCTTCGGGCGGTTGATAATAGAGGCTTGAAAAGAATTGCTCAGTGTGGTGGCAACGTCACTGCAACGGTGAAATCAGACGTCGTGTCATGAGAAAGCGAGTATTCCCCACAAAAAGCTGGTGTTGCTGTGACAGTAAGGATGGGTCGGTCACGACCTTCGTATGGCAGGTGAGGGTTTGCCCCATCACATCATGTTACCACGTGCACAGCTCGGCCGGAAAAGACTGTGCAGTGTTCAGCCATTCACCTGGCGACAGGATACGAAATCAATGACTGCATATCTTGTTGCAGATAGGTCCGCACATGCCTACCGCGTTGAAGACCAAAGTACGAGGAGTCCCAATTGTTCGGAACAATGCAGGATATGGCGCGCAATCGAAACAAATGGAAGATCTGTGTACACATGTGTTAACACTCAGATGCGTAATGCCTAACAATTAGAAAGGATAATAAACGAAAAAATGGTGTTCTAAAAAATAACAATGTTCCGTTATTCTGGCGGCACAATAGCAGAAACGTGTTTCACACCCATAGCGAATGTGTAATTATGATGACAACGCGAATCAACGTGTCAACTTCAGCTGACTTTCATTATTTCGTTTGACTCTATGACTATTAATTAAAAAGTTAAGTGTATATATATATATAATATGGTCGGCGGCAACCGGTTTCTGATTTGCCTGGCAATGTGACACGCTACAGGACGGCTGCGCCTACAGAGGGACCATAGGTAGCTTGCGCTGCACCAATCACAGCTCCAACCACACACCTCATATCCAGTGTAAACCTAAAGGAATAAGATCGGGAGGCATGTGGAAGGGAGCTACGTTTCATCAACCGAGCCGGCCCACACTCCTTCAAAGGCAAATACAAGCACGCTGTATTTGGGAAATCAAGCGCACACAAGGCGGTGGCTGGACCGTAGTCCGCTCCATGCTAAATGCATGGAACCACTCTTCGAGCAGAAAACGGACACGAGGTCCGTTCACCCCGTCCACTGCAGCAACGACCAACTGTCTCCTGGAGGCAGTATGGACGAAGTAGTGGGTAGTAGACAGGTAGGCACATTGTCAACATGCACATCAAGCGCAGCCACACAGGAGATATCAAGCAAGAGGCAATCACTTAAAATGACAAGATGGAATAAAATAAATCGAATAATACATACAGATACGGAGATAACATTAAGATAAAATAACTTTAAAAGGTCAGAAAAGAAACTTAAGGAAATGTCAGAAAGGTAAAAATGTTGAGGGAATAACCTATAATTGGCTTTAGCGACGTGTGCAAGTTTATAAAAGAGTGCAGGTAGACATTAATATAAGAAAGAAGAGTATTAGGACAAAATTGAAAACCCACCACCTGAAATAAGTAGACTTAGCATGCAAGAAAGCGGTTAATAAATCGAATGCAGCATACCTACAAATGCTGCGCCGGTTCTGCCTACATTTTCTGCAAGACCCGCCGTCGATTCGGTGGTGGTCCCGAGTGGCCTCGCTCATGGCTCACAAGGCCTGTCTGACTCAGGCACTCACGACCGCATGTGCTACAGCACCATGCGCTCGAAGTCGATGAAGTAAAACGCAGCGGCGCATATCGTTTCCGAAAATGCCGATCATTCTTCGAATGCGCGAGGGATTTCGCTTACAACTCCGCAACGGCCATCGTGAGCAGATCGTGCCACG